ATGATCTAAGCCACAGTCGGCTCCTGGCCTTCAACCTTACAGCATATAAAATATTAGGCAATGGTTATGTATTTGGTGTGTGTGTGCTGAACATCTTAAACCTGTATTTGTCATCATTCTGATCACTCACTCAGGCAGAATCCAGCTTTAACAAAGTATTTTCTTAGATGACTAGGTCACATTTTCAACTCAGCAGGTAGTATCATCTCACCCCTATGTAGTGGAGGACTGCAACCAATCATTTGGACTAACTCAAAGTGACCTTCCATTAGAATGCAACAGACACATAAAATACTTTTAGAGCTTGCAGTCAACTATCACAATATAAAAGCAGAGAAGTTCCCTGGAGTAGGCTGATGGAGAGTACCCGAAGACTGAATTCAGCCTCTCCCCATCTTCCTTCACCCATCCAACCGCTGAAGTTGTCTTGTGACCAGCACCAGTCAGACATTATTTTGTGTTATGCTAAGATGAAGTCTGCTGGAGGAAGCTGTTGAGAGAGGTAAAAAGCCAGCTTCAGTTACATTTAGGGATTCTGAGAGGGCAAGACATTTTGTCTTAGAAACTCTAAATGACAAAGACACAGCAGTGTCCACGGACATGGCTTATTGAAGGTTTAAAGAAATCATGTTCATCCAGATGTTATTCCTGACTCCCCACTGTCCAAGTTATGAATTTTTTTTCAAGTTATGAATTTTGATCTTTTATTAAAAAGTTTAAAGTTATTACACACATGAAATGGAAAATTCTTTTTGGAGGTAGTTAGGGTCATAATAGGGAGAAGGAAATGGCAACCCACTCCAGTATTCTTGCCTGGGGAATCCCTGGGACAAAGGAGCCTGGTGGGCTGCCGTCTATGGGGTCGGACAGACAGACACGACTAAAGCAACTTTGCAGCAGCAGCAGGGTCATAATAAAATATTCCAAGAATGCACTAGGTGAGTTTGTAGGTTCATGCTGGCTTGTCTACAAGTTTATGGTTTGTACTTAGAAAATTTCTTATCAGAAGACCAGGGACGCAGCTTTAAGGTTAACTCATATAGTGCATCCCCCAGTTAGATCTGCTTTTCTTTCCCTCCATTAATGATTGCCTATTAAAAGATGATTTACTTTGAAATTTGTAAGTAAGGGTCTCTTTCATGTGACTTTGCTAGTAAGTTTTGTTCCTAGTGATCACTGTATATATAGTAATCACATGATCACATTTAATATTCTGATGGTTTTATTAACAAGTATATAATACATATATTGCATACTGTATATAGGATATGAGGACTGTACAGTACAAATTTATGTTCACAGTTTGACATGACAAAATGTCATTACTGAATTCCCATTGGACTACAGAGTAGAAACAGAGAAGGAACATTAAACATTCACATCTTTAGTAAGAAAGATTACCAAAATGTTTCAGTATTTGCAAGTATACTAATGCATGCTAAAAACCTTTACCCATTCAGTCTTATTAGCTTATAAAATATATTACACTTTATTAAAAATTTCTGCATAGTTTATACAAGTATTAAAGTACTGTAAATGTAATAATCCTGCTATATTTGCAGGTATGGTTTAAGAGATGCTAAGCAGAAAGATTATTTTGACCCTCTAACACTAAGTACATAACAGCAAAAAAAAAAGTGCTAGTATTTGTAAAACATAATATTGTTGCAGCCCTCGTTTAATGCATGTAAAATGGCTTTGTAAATGTATTATTTAAGTGAATTTGCAATCATTTAGAAATTGTTAACCTTGACCAAGAAGAGAATAAAGACCACTCTGAGCAACTTCATGCATGACAGTGATTCCTTCAAGATGACTGTATATTTTCAAACCAACCAAATTATTTTAAAACCTCAGACCTTTGAGATTGTCTTTTAAACAATCTAATCAGGAATGATGTGCAGATATACAGTATCAGCAATATAGTTTTTCAAATTCCACATTAGTGCAACACTGATAGTGCAGATGGGTGTTTAATAAAATATACACATACATATAGAGTTCCCCTGTAAATCTGTTCCAAGGCTCTTGAAACTTCTGGTATTTAGCCATTTCCTTAGTTGAACATAGCTATGCTGCTAACACATTCTCCAAACCAGGTGATTTAGAATGTTAATGCCCATTTATGATGTAGGTTCACATTTTAGAACTCTAATAAAATAATGATGGTTGCAGATTTAATTTTTCTGACTTCTGCCCCAAGATGACACTTGGATAATCATCAAAGAAATTCTATAACCAACAGAATTTATACAACACCAACTTCATGTTTACAAATCATTCTCATCAATTTAAAATATTCAAAATTAAAATCACCATTGATAGTAACATGGCATATCATTAAAACCACACGTTCAAGGGTACCTTATCTTGTACTGGAGGTCTTCCACAATAACAGCTAAAAATTACTAAGATACTAAATTTCTCAACTATCATATTAAAATACAAATATATATAAAGAAGGAAAATTTGGTTAACAGCCAATTGGTAACTGAAGTATATAGGCCAGCATGGGAACAGAAAAAAGCTTCCTGGGTTGCTTTATTTTCAGAGTTGAAGTGTATTCTTGTTAATGTTACCATATCTAAGCAGGCTGAATAGTAATGTAGTAAGTCTTTGCAGAGTCCTGCTTGCTTTTTTGAAAAAAATTTAAATATGTTATAGCAAACACGAATTAAATTTCATGAGAACCCATGAAGCTTTCTATCAGCTGGACTTCGACTCAAAGCTAATTATCCAAAGATCAACTTTCTACCCTTTCTTGCCTCCTTTCCCACCTTCAAGATGGGTTAGAACATACACAAACTGGTTAGCTCATAAAAAAAAAAAAGTTATTTGCACTCCATTCTTCGGCGTGTTGTGGAAGAACCATTTCAAGCTATAAACACTTTGGCATGAATGTGACTAAGCATCTACAATATAGACAATACCTACTTTTCCAAGAGCCATTTTTTTTTTTAAATCCCTCAATTCATGACATAGTTGCAAAAAAAAAAAAAGCCTCATAAGGATGGTTTAATATTCTAAACAAATTTTGCAGTGCTTAAGGAAAAAATAAAGAAAATAAAAACCAAGTGCCACATACAAATTACTCTGCATTTCTCAACTACATCTCCTTTCAGTTGGATCCAAGGGCTGATAAGCGGGATCTCTTAGGTGCGCAGTCCCTACAACTCACGTTTATTAACATGGCGCCATCAAAGTAAGCTCCCCACACGATCGCAGGCCTCCAGAATCACTCATGCACTGATGCTTTAAAAACAACTGAACAGTATATTCCTCCCAGCTACGGTTGTGTTGGATCCTGAGTTGCGGCTGGGATGAATCTTCAGGATTCCGTTCTTCTCTCTGCTCCTCCTTCCTTTATCGAGGGATGAATGCGCATTTACTTACATGCACCCACGCTAGACCACCGTCGCCCACTTTCTTCAAATTTAGGACCAATGGCATTTCTATGCGTAGATTATTTTTATTGGCATTTACACTATGGTGCTCAAAAGCCTGCTTTTGAAAAACTTCCCCTAAAATAATGGTGCTATTAATCTTCAACATAAACACGAGTCATTTTCAGTTTGTTTTTTTCTGATAGGATATGTGATAATGACAGGAGATTGCCAGCTCCCACAGTAAACATTTGGGAATTTGAGCTACATTTATGAATCCCTGAACTGTGGTTTTCCAGATTTTTCAGAAATCTGTCCCCTAAAGAAAAGTATGTGTGCTTCACAACTATTTATATTTACAAATAGTGTCACTCAGGTCTTAGATTGAAGGAATCTACTAAAGCATTAGCAGATGCTTGTTTATGATATGTGTTTTGAACACAGATGACAGCCAATTAGGCAGTCTGCAGCTCAAACAGAAAAGTTTCCGTATGAAGTTTCCATGATTAATTGGATAGGGGAATACAATTACCACTCAAAGTTTTCCTGTTTGCAAAAAAGCTATTAAATAGGTGGGATAAAAGAAGGCCATTCATACCCTTACCCGAAAGATTTTTTTTTTTTTTACCATGTTTGGGCAGATATATTTGTGGCATTCCTATGGTCAATGCTTGGTGATGCACATGAAGGACATTGCAAAAATGCAGACAGGTGTATGGAGAAGCCCACTGTATCTGGCTTTGCAATAGGATTCTGCATAGCTGAACATGCATAGAGGCTGAAACTCTGGGAATGCTCTGCCCAGCTACAAAATGATGACGTCTCACCAGAAAGCCCTTGCCCAGCAGGATGGATGTCTTCCTCCTCTGCCCACCCTGCTCTGCTTCTGTTCCATGCCCCTCTGCTCCAACTCCATGCTAGGCAAACAGAGCATCCATCCCCTCAACTGACAGACATCACCCACCTAAATCAGCAGCTCTGCCTCCCCTCCCAGTGGTGGCAAAGCCCTCCCAAGTAGCTGCAGGCACAAAGGAGGTTAAAGGATGTACATTTAGATGAAGTGACAAATCCAAGTTGACAAGCCAGATATGTGAAGGACAAAGGAAGAGCTGACTGTACTAGCCCGACAGCCAGCTGCAAGTCTAGCTAATCTGTGAGAGCTTACAGCCTTCTTTTCGCTGTGGAGCACCAAACATGATCACAGGGCACATAGGTCTGGATGTCTCTGGCAAGGACTAGCAGGCTGGATACTGTACTTGTAATACATTTACTTTGATGTTCTCTTGAGGAATACATGGAGAAACCGACAATTGGTTATGTTAGTTTACATGTTCCCTTGTTTTCATTACATTAAACGTATCTCTAAGAAGGGTTTGCTTAGCATCCCCGGAAAAAAAAAAGTGTTCACATTCTTTAGGTCTGACCCGTGGTAAGGAGAGGGAGGATTAGAGGATATTTACTACTGACCATATGGAAGTTTGAATGATATAAATTCAGATTCAGACCAGCTGAATCGAAATTAAAATGTACATGTAAAAAATGAGTTAGCTGATGGGAAGGAGGATAGAGAGCGAGCTGGAGGGTGGGGGGCCACGCTGAGGCGGGCGGTGGAGGTGTTCACACGAGCATGTGGCGTTTCCTGTGAAGAGCAAGGTGGTCGGAGCGGGAGAAGCTGCGGTCACAGTCTGGACACTGGAAAGGTTTGATTCCAGTGTGTTTTCGGAAATGTCTTGTGAGTTCATCAGACCGAGCAAATTTCCATGTGCATCCTTCCCACGTACATTTGTAGGGTTTTTCTCCTGCAGAGAGGTGGGGGAAAGGAGCTTATTTTTTTTTTTCTAATAGCAAAACGATATTAACAATTAAAGACAGCAAATATTTTTGAGCTAAAGCTCTTGACAACGGGAAGGGAGTTTGGGGGAGAATGTATATGTGTATATGTAAGGCTCAGTCCCTTTGCTGTCTATCTGAAACTATTACAACACTGTTAACAGGCTATGAGCTTAGTCATTCAGTTGTGTCTGACTCTTCCTGACCCCATGGACCACAGCCCACTAAGCTCCTCTGTTCTTGGGATTCTCCAGGTAAGAATACTGGAGTGGGTAATCATTCCCTTCTCCTGGGGATCTTCTCAACCCAGAGATTGAACTCGGGTCTCCTGCATTGCAGACAGATTCTTTACCATCTGAGCCACCAGGGAAGCCCATTTTAACAGGCTATACTCCAATATAAAATAAAAAGTTAAGAAAAATAGCTCTTGACAAACATTATTTCCAATATATGATCATACATTTGTTCCTCAATAATACTGCCGTATGAACCACTAGGGGACAGACAAGAAAAAGAAACTGTGTTAATGTGTAATTGGCTTTCTGCTCCCCAAAAGGGGGGAAGGGTGGGTTTTAAGAGTTCTTAAAGCATATTTATGGCACTGAAATCCACTCTAAGGGGCTACCAAATAATTTGGGGTTTGCCCTCAATAGTAGTGACGAACCTGTTCTTAATACACAGTGATCTGTATTTGCTAACCTTCAAGTTGTAAACCTACTTAGGAACTTAGCTACAAGAGGCATTATCCAATGAGAAGCCCAAATCAAAAGTCTTGTGAGGATTTTCTTATTTAGTAGTTTTCTAAAAATGTAAAGTCCCTTAGTCCCTATGAACTGAAATATTTATCAGGGATTTTGCATTTTGCTTTTTGGTTAGTCAACACCATCAAAGCCTAAGTATAATGCTTTAATGAAGACAGAGTAATTTCTCCCCACCCTGCCAGGGGACATCAGGTTTCTGCAACTCTCTCCTGGGCAAGGAGAATCCACAGGTGAGAAAAAGAAGACCGCTGCTGGGGAGTCACAGGCTCACTGGTAAAGAATCTGCCTGCAATGTGGGAGACCTGGGTTTGATCCCTGGGTCGAGACGATCCCCTGGAGAAGGGAACGGCTACCCACTCCAGTATTCTTCTGGCCTGGAGAATTCCATGGACTGTATAGTCCATGGGGTCGCAAAGATTTGGACGACTGGGCGCCTTTCACTTACTTACTTGTGGGGAAGTCACAAGGACAGTCAGTATGAAGGTTTTTACTAATAAACAGGCAGCTAAATGGCAATTTTGCCTGTTTAAACTAGTAATAATGGGTAATGGGCATCACAGATTCATTTCCATTTACTATCTCCTCAGTTTTCCAGAAACCTTAAAGGACTGTCATTTTTTGGTACTTCAAAGACATACTCAGAATTTATACTACCTTCTTTATTGCACAGAATATACATGTAAGAGGTAGTTTTTCCTACATCTAAATTGTTATCCAAATACCCAATGTCTTTTTAATCTTATGCTGGCATGTGATAACATCCACCTCTCAGGTCCCATTCATGCCCCTGGGGAGGCATTCCTGAATCTGCTTGGCACTGCCCATTGGGTGATCCCCTAACTGCAAGGCTGTGGCCCTCAGCGCTCTCCACGGCAACGCTGCGAGGAAGCCAAAGGACAGTTGTGTGCGGGATGGATTCCTCCGCCTCCTCTGCAGGATGTGCTAAAAAACTTCACTTCCACTCTGCCAGACACTTCAGTTCCTTTCCTGTTCCGAATCCCAAATTGTTCTCTTTGTAAATATTCCTAACAAGAATGACTCACAAGGCTCCCAAACCCCTACATTCTGAGTTAAGGAAATGTACAGAGAGGCAAATGACTATTATGCTAGAATTTCACAGGGAAGACTTTAGGCCACGCCAGATGAGGCCTCCCATAAACATTAGTCACCACTACCAACTGCAATTACTCAGGTTTGTTTGAAATACTTTTGTACGAATTCCTTAAGATGTTTTCTTCCGGAGCCCAGGGGACAACTTTATGTTTTCTTCACCTATTTAACAGTTTTTATAAGATCTGCCTGCCTGCTCTATATACAACACCTGGCAAGCTGGAAAATACCCTAGAATAAATATGGCAGGCGATGGCATACAAGTGCCCTCACTTTTACAAGATGATAATTACCAATATCTCTTTACTTTTCTTCCCTTCAATGACTTCCACTTCCATTTGAATTCCATTTCTATACACTGCTGCGTTTACTTGTTCTACATGAAGAACTGTTTTTTAATGTACAACATTTATTAAATGGTAGTCTCCACGAAGGCCACATCTTTGATGACGCAGGCCTGTGGTTAAGGGCACTTTCCCCTGTTCCCAGTGGAGATGTCCTGCCCTTCTCTGCCTCTCACGAGAGACTGCAGAGCTGCAAGTGGTTGTGAGAGACCTTGTTACGCAGAGAACCCTGACTATGTCCTATTAGAAAAACAAATCATCATCAGCAACTTCATTCTTCACAACTGCAGAGACAGCTGTAGCTGACCAGGGCAACTTTTAAGACGCCTGAAAAAATTTCACTGTAGTAATCTCTCCAAGACAGAACATTTAACACTCCCTTCTAGTACTTCTTAAGAAGGTAAATGAAGCGAGTCTCTTAATACCTGTATGTGTTCTTCTGTGTGCTTTCAAGTGAGAGCTCTTAGTGTACACTTTGTTGCATCCGTCATAATCACATCTGTGTATCCTCCGCTTCCGTTGTGTGTCTGGAGATTCCACAGGTAAAGGTCTCTTCCCGGGCTGCACGATGACTGATGGGTGATTCCTAGGAAAGCCAATGCCAAATGCAAGATGGTGAGGTGCAAGATCCTTGCCTTCAGGCTACCAAAAGCATTAACAACACTGGGCAGAAACAAACGAACAGAAAACCCAACAAAATAAACAGAAAGAAATTAGCTGATCAACCCAAGAAGCACTGCTATATTCATTCAACAAACATGGAGTGAGCACCTACCATGAGCCAGGCACTGTGCTTGGCACCGGGACACAAAGATGAATAAAAACAGGGTTCCTGCCCTGGAGGAGCTCACACTCTAGGGGGAGACAGACATGTAGATAAGTAATGACAGTAAGAAGGGTTAGGTGCTATGCTAGAGGGAGGTGCGAAGTGCTGGGAGAGTCTTTCCCTCAACAGAAATTTGCTTTGCAGAATTTTGTGGTTGGAGGCTAAACACTGTACTGTTTTCTCACAGGCCGCTCAGGTTTCCAGGTACTGTTCTTTCGGGGAAAAGCTAAAAGGTCAAACTCCTAAGCCTCAGGCAACCACGCTGTAGGATGAATCTGTATTTTATCCTCTATGCAACTGGCATTTAGTTTGAGTCTCCTAAAGAGGCTTACATTTGATTTTGATCTTCAAAAAAAAAAAACAAAACAAGAACAGTTGGCATGCTGTCTTAACAAACTCAGACCTTGACTGTCACTATTATTCCTCCTTGGGAGAGAACCTGAAGCAGGGCTAGTGGTCAGGCGAGGGAGCGCCTCACCCAGGGCCCAGGCGCCGTCCCGGGGCCCTGAGCCTGTCATCCTCCCTTCCTGGGTCCTCTCCCACAGCCGCCTTTTCCTGGCCTTCATACCTTTCAGGGGTGCGGGAGGGGCTGAGATCAAATCCTGCTGAACGTCATTACTATGAACTTCCTCTTTTTCAGAAAGGAAGTTGGTGGAAATGGCAGATGTGGAAGAGCCAGGAAAAATCTGTAGTTTTCTCAGGCTTCTCCTGCTGATTGATGTAAGTAATTAACAAGTTCTAATCCGTCCATTTGCTTCCCTAATGACTAATTACTTGATACATTACAAGCTTATGTAGTTGGTCTCTGTGACAAAAAGACTCCTGTTTCTTTTCAATCTGAATCTAAATTTCTTAAAATGTTATACAAGAACATATGCAGGGTGGGGGGTGGGTGGGGGGAAAGACTGGTGGAAAGGAAAATAAATACTTAGTTCCTGAAATAAAACTTATTTATCTTGATAAAAACATATTGATAAATACATCTTTTATCAACAACTTTTTCAGGCACCTGAAGAAGTGACTAGGAAGAGAATAAAAAGGTACATTTTACCTTGAGTGACCTTACTTCTCAATTATGAGCAAAGAAAACTGTGTTTATTTCCCTTTTTTTTAAAAACTGTCAGTTTTGAGTATCACGTTACCTTCCTACCCTGATACTTAGAGGGACTATACGGAAGAATGAAGTTTAGCCAGTTTAGATACATGTAAAAGGGAACACAAACTAGTGGGGGGTGGGGATGGTGCAGGGAACAAGGACTTCAGTTATATAAACGTAAAAGTAACAGAGAAAGTAGGTAAGTGAAGAGATTTATGGACGGAGTGTGTGTGTGTTTTTTTAATAAAAGCCCACTATGAAGATCCTTCAATAAAAAGAAAAGTTTATCAGTTTACTTTAAAATTTCAACTTTAATGTCACTGATTGAAAATTTTCATCTTAAAAGAACTTCCGGAAACAAAGTGCTGAAGGAAAAAAAATGAACAGTTAAGTGTATCTTATGTGCTTCTGGGACACTGGGAGAGAACCCCAGATGAGTTCAGAAGTCTCTCCCAGTTATTAAGATTTTAAAGGTTGGGAATCTAATAGTTTCTGGGTAGTAACGATGATCATTGCTTCAGTTACTCACTTTGTGAAAATGTCAGCCTCAAAAAAGGGACCCTAAAAGGCAGTGAGCTTCAGCTCTAAATCCCAGCCCTACCACTGATGGTCCCCGTGACCCCTGGCAAGGTAGTTACACTCTCCATGCCTCAGTTTCCTCTCTGTAAAATGGGTATATTAATAGGATCTCATTCAGAAAACTAAGATCATGGCATCTGGTCCCATAACTTCATGGGAAATAGATGGGGAAACAGTGGAAACAGTAGCTGACTTTATTTTTTTCTGGGCTCTAAAATCACTGCAGATGGTGATTGCAGCCATGAAATTAAAAGACACTTACTCCTTGGAAGGAAAGTTATGACCAACCTAGAGAGCATATTAAAAAGCAGAGACATTACTTTGCAACAAAGGTCCTTCTAATCAAGGTTATGGTTTTTCCAGTGGTCATGTATGGATGTGAGAGCTGGACTATAAAGAAAGCTGAGAGTGGAAGAATTGATGCTTTTGAACTGCGGCATTGGAGAAGACACTTGAGAGTCCCTTGGACTGCAAGGAGATCCAACCAGTCCATCCTAAAGGAGATCAGTCCTGGGTGTTCATTGGAAGGACTGATGCTGAAGCTGAAACTCCAACACGCTGGCCACCTGATGCGAAGAGCTGACTCACTGGAAAAGACCCTGATACTGGGAGGGATTGAGGGCAGGAGGAGAAGGGGACAACAGAAGATGAGATGGTTGGATGGCATCACTGACTCAACAGATATAGGTTTGGGTGGACTCCGGGTGATGGACACGGAGGCCTGGCATGCTGTGGTTCATGGGGTCTCAAAGAGTCTTACACGACTGAGCAACTGAACTGAACTAATAGGATCTCAGAAGGTTGCTGTGTGATGCACACAAAGTACTTAACATTTGGTCCAGATGAAAAATCTGCTCAACGGCAGCTGTTGATATTTCAAGGTTCAGAAATCCACTTGCAAACTTCGTCCTTACAGTTGTCTAGTCTTGAGGAATTTTGGGGGGCATGTCCTAACACCAGATCATGAATCTACTCCAGGATAAAGAAGATGCTGGCAGCATAGGAAGGCAGTAATACTCTGAGAGGGGTCAGCAGTCCATCTTGAAAGGGGCCAGACATTGGTATAGGTTGAGGCTCAGGATCTTGGGATTTCATTCACCCTTCTTGCTCTCTTCACGGCTTATTTTTAAGGAGGCTGTTTTGAGATCTAAGTAAGAAGTTAGAATACCTAGTAAATACCAGAGACCTGGTCATTGTTTTGAATTAAGCTGATCCCTCTTTTTTATTTTTCAACTGTTTGTTTATGGCTGCACTGGGTCTTCATTCTGCCCACACGCTTTCTCTAGTCACAGCAGAATGGGGGCTGCTCTCTCGTTGTGGTGCAAGAGCTTCTCATTGAGGTGGTTTTTCTTATTGTGGGGCACGGGCTCTAGGGTTCACGGGCTCAGTAGTTATGGCCCACAGGCTTAGCTGCCATGAACCATGTGGAATCTTCCTGGACCAGGGACTGAACCTGTGTCCCCTGCATTGGCAGGCAGATTCTTAACCACTGGACCATCAGGGAAGTCCAAGCTGATCCCTGTTAGGTTTGCTACAATTTCATGTATACAACTCAATGGGGAAATCTGATCTACAAGATTCTGTTCTAAATACACTTTCATACATATAGATAAATAACAAAAGGAATCTGAGTGACTTTATAAATAATTCTAAAGCTACAACTTTATGATTAAGCAAAATGGATTTCAAAGCTGTAGTCCTCCCCTGAAAAGGAATGGCTTCCTAAAGCAAATATCATTGGGGCTGCCTTATTGAAATGGTACCAGGTATTTGGTTTCCAGTGATTCTTTCCTGGCTAGCTGGTTTCCTATGTGGGCTGCTACTGGGCATACTCCAAGACATTACTTAATCACATCTGTGAGAGAATTACTTAAAAAGTACATGTTCCAGTTGTGGGTACTCTGTTCAATTTTCTGAGAGGCAAAATGCATTCTTAGATCAGCATTAGAAGAAGCACATTACTCATTAATCATTAAAAGCCACTGAATGTAAGATCATCAAAAAAACATACTTAAAATAAGAAATGTTTTCTTTTCAGGAGCATTCAGAGAACAGAATATTGCCTTCAAATATTCTTCTTCTGAAGTGTGTTACATTGTAATTCACAATAACCTCAACTTTGGAATACCCCTTGTAGGTATAGGGATCAATGGATACCTTCCTTTGTGAGTAGCTGGCTTTAGAGCATCTTTTTTATCATCTGTTCAGGAACAATTACAAGTGCTAAGCCACAGTACCAGTTACTTTGTAGAGACATCTGTCATTCTAAAAAAAGAGGCAATTCAGCCGTGTCCATTTTGGTTTGTTGTTTAGTCACTAAGTTGTGTTTGACTCTTTGTAACCCCATAAATTGTAGCCCACCAGGCTCCTCTGTCCATGGGATTTTCAGGCAAGAGAAGTGGGGTGCTACTTCCTCCTCCAGGGGATCTTCCTGACTCAGGGATCCAACCTGTGTCTGCTACATCGCAGGTGGATTCTTTACCACTGATCTATCAGGGAAGCCCCCCATTTTGGCTGGCCTGTTTTTCCTTTCAGTCAAGTACAGGAGCAGATGTAATTTGCTAGACATGATCTAAAAGTGGCAGGAAGAGCACACATCTGGAAGGAGATCAGCCCAGGTCCCCTCTGCTCTTGTTAATGGTGTGATTGACTCACATATGTCTTGGCTCATCAGTTCTCTATTTGCTCTGACTCCCACATGCTTGTTTAGGGAGAATGAAATAACTCCTTTGAAAACACTTGGAAAAGTTCCTTTTTTTTTTTTTTTAAATTTTGTGGGAAAGGAGTGCTATGCAATTGTGAAGGGTAACAATGAAAAGACCATCAGGCTCCCTACTGGTGCGGCTGGGGCAGATTCATTCTCTTCTCATGTTTCAGGGAGTGGATGAACTCCCCCTCCCTTCCCCCCAAAAAAACCTGATTTGGTTTAAATGATAATTAACCCATGAGCTATTATGAATGCACCTACTTGGGCTGAATGTAGATACAACCAGAATTTATTTGAAGTTCCATAAAATAGCTGTTCTAAAACCAGAGAATTCATATTCCGTTACAGAATTTTTTATGTAAGGGAGAGAAGAATGCAGAAGATAGGGTGGAAAGGGGGGCAGAAAAGCTGGAGAAAAAGTGATATGGGGAGGAAAGTGATAGAAGGGAGTCTGAGGAGTATAACAATAACTGTTATACTTCCTCTGTACTAGACAGCTGGTCCTTAAACCAATGTTGAAAGGACCATAATATAAGAAAAATAATTAAAACCAGTAATGTAATAAAGAGAAAGCTGGGCAAAAGAGCAAGTGGCTAGGCAGAGGTCACACATGTGGGGGAGAGCAGAGGTGGGATCAAAGATGTTGGGCCAAAGACGATGTCTGTACCTACTGCAAGCACAGCCCCCAAGGTAAACCTTGGGAGAAGTCAAGGATAGTGCAAACCACAATAATGATGTTATTTAGCCTGTGTGTGACACCCTCATATGACAGCAAGTTAAACCACTGTTCAGGTGCCCGGATGCTGATGGATATAGTGTAAACTTTCTACTGGATGGCATTTCTAAAGCAGACCGAACATTCTAGGGCACACACAATGAAAAAGACTGGAGAAGAAAGAGCTCTTTCAAAGCCAAGCTTCTCTGAGCAATATCGTCAACTTTCTGTTGCCATAGGACTGGTTTCGGAGAATCTTTCCTGGGCTTTTGTGGTTGGCCTGAAAATTCTGATCAAAGCCATACCCCATCACAGAAACACTGTGCTTTATGAGAACTGACAACAGGAAGGATGATGAGTGATCCCATAAAGAGTTTTCAGGATCCAATCTTAAGTGGGATATCTAGAACACCAAATTCAATCCACATTGGGATAAAGATGATGGGAGGACTATATACACATAGCCTGGAAGGACAGAAAAAAACAGGATAAAAATGACTTAAGGGGTAAAGTGGCAAAATGAAGGGTGACTGACTCACTGAAAAGTGACCCAAGGAGAGTAACAGAGCACAGTGATTGTGGAGAGAGTCCATCTGGCCCAGGGGCTGCCCCGAACCACCAGGCGGTCCTAGCAATCCATAAGACATCCCTCATGGGAAGCTCGGGCTTCCATTCCAGTTCTGAGATGCACGCTGCTATGCAACTGCCGGGCAGACCTCAGTATACTTACTCTTGCAACAATGCTTGCGGGGGGGACACTGAGTTCATTAAAGGGGGTGACATTTCTTCGGGATAATAATCTGTCCTCTGTGGTTCGATCCCAGGTTCTATTTTAATTTTTTTCTGCAATATAGGCTTCTCATATGATTCAATTACAGGTACTAAAAAATAAAAATAGAAAAGTTACTCTATGTACACTTTGCCAGTGTCCAGCCTTTAAAAGCTTATCCCACAGCTTCTAGCTACCACACTGATATGTGAGTATCTACCTTTGGCAAAATGACAGCAGAAATAAACCTGGGGGTGGAATTCTTCCTTTGTTAGCAAACACTATGTAGGAAGTTGGACTCTTAAGACATAGCCCCCAGGGGATTTCTTATGACTTTTGGTTATCTCCTTGTACAACAACCTGCAGCCTCTGACCAGTAAACAAGCTGGCTTTTGATAGCCATTAGTTATCACATGGTCTAAAGCAGCCATCTCCAATCTTTGTGGCACCAGGGATTGGTTTTGTGGAAGACAGTTTTTCCATGGAATGGGGTGGGGGTGAATCAAGCCCATTACATTTATCATGCACTTTATTTCTATGATTATGTCAGCTCCACCTCAGATCATCAGGCATTAGATCCTGGAGGCTGGGGAGCCCTGGTCTAAAAATAGTTCTTACCAGCCTTTTGCACCTAGAACCATGCTGGCATTCAATAAAGCAAAATGTAAAGTCAAGATTCTTGTTATCCAAAGTTGACAAGCACATAGTGAAACTAATCGTTTCATGGCATTAAACAGTCTGATTCTTGGGAGCTCTTGCAGGATCAACACTTAGAAAAACGAAACGCCTCAGGCGAGCGCTTCCTTTTCAGAGTTCAGCGGCTCTCGGCCCCTTGCTTCCTCTGCTCCCTCAATCAGACTAGCTGGCAGCGAAGCGCTACAGGTCCGGATTAACGCGGGTGGACAGGGCGGGGGCGGCAGCGGTGCGGGTGAGCTGCAGAACAGAACGGTACCTTGCATGCCACTGCTGGAATTTTCCATCTCCTCCGACAAGGAGACCACGAGCGGCTGCTGGAGGTGGCTGGTGTACATGAAGGGGACGGGCTGCACGACGACGGGCTGGATGACAGGCAGGATGCCCGGGCTCCGGATGCCGTGGCGGGACAGGGCCGCGGCCATCACCGGCGGCATGGACAGCGGCACGCCGAAGGGCTGCACGCCGGGCGGCGGCGGCGAGTACTTCTTCCCGGGCGGGCTGGGGGAGGGCAGGCTCAGCCCGGGCGAGGCTCGCCTGTGCGAGGGCTGGAACTTCAGGGAGGACGGCGAGCTCCCGGCGGAGGGCGGTGAGCTCCGCTTGTTGACCGTGAGGTCCACCGGCTCCATCTGCATCCCGTGAGACAGGCCTTCCGGCGTCTGGAAGAACTTATCCGACAACGGCGTGGAGTAGATGACGCCGTACTTGTTGGGCTTCATCGACTCCATGTAATTAGACGGGTATGACTATTAGGAGACAGAAACGTGTCAGCAGACAGGTGTTTGCTTGAAACAGAAGATGAAAATACACAACAAGGCACATTCAGTTACATGGACTTTCATAAATGGTTTGGATTTAGATGTATGATTGACACTAAAAAAAAAAAAAAACCATGAAAGAGTTGGTCTAATAAATGTAGGCACTAAAGTTAACGTGGTAACCACGTCACACACAAAAAATCTCAAGTTTAATTCTACAGTGATGGCCGTATCCAATGTTAAGATTGATGATGACGCCTGGAAAAATTCTCAAACAGGTTACAAAAAGGCTTATGGGCCTTTATCATTAGGAGTTGCAGTTCACCAAGAACCAGCCAAGCCAAGGAACCTTACTGCTTTTCTGATGGGGCTTCTTAATTGGCAGGAAATACCCTCCTTGGCTTTAGTGTCCTCCACCTGAGCATAAAGGCACAGAACATTTCCCCTGCTTGTGGATAACATGGACAAACCCAGCCACGTGGTATGCCTTGGCATGCTCTCCAGCCACTGACCAATCCATGCTAAGGTGACCACGAATCCTGGCTTTAGTGCTAAATGTCCGACATCTGAGGAAATGCCTCAGTATCATGCAACTCAGGATGGCTAGTCACCCCACACACTTATATACAGAAGGCCACCCACACAAAGGCAATTATGTCCTTGGCCCCAACTTGTCCAACAGATTTATTCACAATTTGAGATACTGTAGAAGATGATTTAATCTCCAGATCTGAGGACGACACAGAACTATAAGAAAGAGCAAATATAACAGGACTTAAATAAGGACACGTGATGCTGGAAGGGACCTGCATACAAGCTTGAGGCTTTGCCTTCTCTCCTTTCCACCTTGCTACTCCGTCATCAAGAGACTGGGGGACAACCTAACAAGATACCAGAGGTGAGATAAACAGTCCCCTGCGAAATCCAAGATCTGTTCATAACTGACTTGTCTTCAAATACATTCCTTTCTTATTTTCAAGATAACGTATTCCTTTCTTATATTCAAGATAACGTAACTCTCATGTACCAGGTTGAAATATAAATCAATCGTAATTGCACACTATGGGTACTGTCCTTGGCCATGGAATTCATTAAAATTACTTCTACTCCTTAAGTAAAATTTAAAGTCTGCTTTAGAATGTTTAAAAAAAAAATTAAACTCAACATAAACCCTTTACTTGCATGCATTTTAGGGGAACATATTTTCAGTGGTAACATGTCAAGTCTAACTGCAGAGGATTACTTATATTTGAATGTTTTATAGTAAGGGTGAAAAATAACACACTGTGCCTCTCTTCCAGCCCTAAAATTCAATGCATTTGTGATTCTGAAGCAACACTAGCTCACAATGCAACTAAGAAAACCCACTAATGGGAACTTGTAATTAAACAGCTTAAATGCACTATTAATTTCTGAACCTCCCTGGCCCCTTCAGTGGCCATTAATATGAGTTATTAATAACTGCGGGACAGCAGTGGTTTTGACTGGGATTACTACTGAGATCACACCCTTTCCTCTCTGGGCCTCACTGGGTGAATCTCCACCTGGCTATGCACCCAACTCATCAGTGCTGCTTTAAAATCCCATTCCTGCACTTTCAAAGTAACTTTATTACGTTCAAAAGCAGTTCTATAAAAGAAGGCAAGAGAAATTACTAAATAAATATTAGACATGCAAGTGTCATGAGGACATGTCAAAACTTGTCAAGGTGGTGCTAGGTACTCATCTTCTAGGAGGCTGTGACACTAAGATTAGAATTGCACCCAATGAGACGCCTATGAGATGAACTTAACACACACTGTGGTCCCAGGAGTCTTTTCTTCCTGCTGTATATCACAGGTGTTATGACTTCAGTGGGCTTTGATATTATGAGGTATTCTTCAGACTTTACTAAGCATACAGATTCACCTGGGACTCTTGTTAAAATGCAGATTCTGAGTTACTGGGGACTGACTGAAGGTGCCATAGATCAGCCTTAGACTAGCATGGCTCTCGATGATGAGATACAGAATAAAAATACTGATTTTTATTACTAACATTTGGTAAATTATTTAAATGCAATTTAAAGGTGGGGAGGGAGAATTTCCACTAATAGTACTGCTTAAAAACAAGGACATGGGGATATAAAATCAGGAAATGCAAAACAAATTGTTGTTTTTTAAAAATAGTTTTGAATTATGTATCAAAGATCAAATGAAGAAAAGGCTATTTCTACCTTTCTTTAGAATGAGACACACAGAGGTGCAACACAAGGTGAGAGGCTCAAAATATACAATAATATTAATATGCAATAGATTTAATTGAAATATTAAAATAGGCAAAAGCAAGAGGCACAAGGTTTGCGAACAGAAATTACACATTATGTACAATGAGGGCTTAAGGAAGTAATTAACTACAGGAGGAAAAAAAGATTTCTCCTAGTTCTAAAGTTTAGCCAGCTTGATATAATTTTCTAAAGGGCAAAAGTTCTGGTACAAGAAACAAAAACTCCAGGAAATGGGAGGCAGTGTTCATTGTTTCTACTCACAGAAATGTAGCTTCTCCCTTATTTTCAGCCCTAGTCTTCAAAGACATCCCTATGACCTAGATTTTAATACCAAGTTATTGGCAACTACATAGGAAGCAGGATGAGGACAAACTTTTCTTGCTGTCATTGCTGGATTTTTCTATCTGTGGGGTGAGTTTAAGGAAAGCAGGAATTTAGAACCTGGGGGATTTGCAAATTTAATAACAGTCTCAGGTTTCTCGAGCCATAAAGAAACAGCCACACAGAGCTGAATTTTATAAACATTATGCACAGTTTTGCTGAGAGTCTTCCCTCCCATGAATGGCCCCTGTCCCCCGCACTGGACATGTGGTCTTTGGAAGGCTCCAGGGCTAAAAGCAGGGGGACTGTTTGCATTGACCTGGGCATACAACTGAGTCCAGTGTTAACTATTTCTGGTCTGACTGCTTCGCCTGAGGCTGAAGAAATGTGGTTCTTCAAACTGTCTCACTAGCAAACTTCACAGCAATGTTTACCAGAACCTTCTATGAGGCATGTTTACTTTAATCATTTGGGTGGAGCACATAAGCCACTGCAATCAGCTTGCAACAATCTGGTTCTCCACAGCGTAAGGGCTGACACAGGGCTTGCATGGGGTGTGTGCCTTGGGTGGATACACGCTGGTAATAGTTGCTTCCTCTCTGTTCCAGAGCATTCCTGTGTTCTAATGAAGCAATGCAAATAAGTGTGACTGCACCAGCAAAATCCACATCAGCCCCAAGTAGTGATGAAGCAGAAAGAGGTCCTCTGGCCACTGCTGGGCATCCACGGCCCTACTGGCTCAAGCAGAGGTCTCCTCCACTCCTGACCCCCAGTAAGGGCCTTTCCCCAAAGGTCTGTTATTAAGAAGGGTTCTTTCCCTCTGTGGTAACATGCATTCAAGTGTTCACACCTCCGTGCCGTGGCTTATTTACTTGTCGGTGGCTTCTTGTCAATGGAGTGGGAGATGATGGTCCAGCCCAAGTGCTCAGAGAACACTGGATGAACGGATGACATGAATCAGCATGCTCTCTGAGCAAGTTTTTACCACTGACCAGGCTCAGCATAACAATTTTTTGATTCTCAAAAAAAAAAATTTTTTTTTAAAGTGTGATGAGGAAAAAGACACAGAGTTTGGATAATTTTCCAATGCTATCACTTCCTATCAAAGTGAGAATGAATAGTTTCTCATTTTATTGGAAATAGTTTTGGTGAAGTTTTCCATTACAAGATGGTTTAAGTGGACAGAGTGACTGCATGAAACGTGGGTGAGTCTGTTTCACTATTCATTAATATGAAAAAAAACTGCGACTGTCCGTGACAGGGCGGTGGCAAGTCAAAGGAATCTTCATACCAAGGGTGGAGTTCCAAGTGCAAGAAGGCGCGGTGCATTTATAAACAAACTCTTTGGAAACAGCAAATGTCATGCCCCTCTGTGCAAACAAAAGTAGAAAGCTCTCTTTCTACCAGGCTCAGAAAAGTCATGAAAAGTTTCTGTTAGAACACAGCAGAGGGACTACTGATTTTAAGTACTTCTTAATCTGTAAGGAGTCTGTTAGATGATAATTTTCATTAAAGAAAAAAATACACTTTCTTCAGAGGTAATCTTCCTTTAGGAACAGAAGAATATGAAGGAATACTTTTTAAAATTTTTCTTTTCTCATTTCCTGAATTAAATTCTAGTTTTCAACCTTCTTTGGCAGTATTGGTAAAAACAACTCCTTTACATTTTATATACACCTGCCATTTCATGTTTTACATGTAAGTATCTCCAATTTTATAAATAAGAAAAAAAAATGGAGACTCAGGGAGCTGCTGATGGCTCTGCCAGCAACACACTGACAGTAAGTAGCAGAGATCTACAGCACAGAATGGGGGGTGGGGTGTACTCTGCTCCCCATTCTTGCAAATCTTAATGGGATCGACAATCCAAAGTCTAGCCTGCCTCAAGGCACAAGGTTTAGTTTAGTGAGCATTATGAAGGTTTATACTTTAGTAAGAGAAAAATGCCATTTCCTCACTTTCTCTAAATTATAGCAAAACACCAACTAGGCAGATTATTTTTACTCTTCTTAACTTTTAGGGAAAAGGGCTTAGAGAGGGGAATAAATCACAGTAAAATATTTTTATTCACATGTGGAGTTGAAGCAAAAACCAATCTTACATGTTACTGCTTCATGTTTAGAACACTGACCTGAATAAACAAAGACCTCAACCTTTAGCTCAAAGGCAGAATGAAAAAGAGAAAAGGAATAAAGGAATGATAAATCAGATTTCATATACTTCACCTATGAAGGTAGGAAAAGTAAAATTTGAAGATTTAAGGGTGGAAACAAAGAAACTTCATTGTAAGGACTGGAACTCTCTTTTGGTGAAACAATATAATTAAATTCTATAAGCATCAGCAGAACTTGAAAACTAGAGCATGAAGAAGAAAAAGACCATTAATTGCAAAAATACTTCCACATATTTTAACTCCATGCAGTAATATGTTACAGCATTATAACTATTACAACAAATTCATTTTATTTCCAGTTTTTTTCAGCTAAGTGCATTTCCTTGTATGGTGAAGTTCATTTTAGCTTTAAATTAGGCTCTTGTGACACATTCTCATGCTTGATTAAAAGCTCTGAAAGTATACTGAATAGTAAAATGCATCACTGATGGGCCTACATCATTTACCAAATTAATCATAGTCTCTGGTACTAAAACCCTATTCATATTTCAAGGATACAATTAATGAGGACATTTTATACCTTAATATTCCTCCAGTATGATCATGCAATAGTTGGGGGAAGGGATTGATGACAAAATGAGTAACATTAGAAGCCAATTTAGCTTTTTGATTAATAAAATTCTTATTGCTCTTTTATTATCATGTGGTTGTACAGTTGTCAGGCAAGAATGTAAATGCTGTTTCCTTAAAGCCATTCTGACTTAACTTTTCACCGTACGGAGTGGTAAACACTGGCGCAGAAATCTCCATGGCAACTCAGTTCCAAGGGCCTTGGAGTGACCCCCGTGTCTCGTATAAACAGTTTTGGCAGGAACTCCATAACCAGCGCATAAGGATGATCTAATTTTTGCAAGCGTGTCATTACCAACCTTCAGAGCCACAACTCAGGCCAAGTTTTCCCCCTTGTGAGTATTTTCCAAGCCCGAGGAAGAAAAGAGAGACAGAGCTGGGAGCGTGGCCGTGTTTATTTCACGTTCACTAAACCAGAGCCCCTCAAGTCTCAACCACTCCCGGCTCTGCAGTCGGAAACCTTTCTGTTGTCAGCCCTGTCCAACCTCCAGAGAGCTGGTGTTGCACCTCTAGAAACAACTGGACTCACTGCTCCTTCCTTGGTGGTCGACAGGCATGAAGACCGGGCTAGCTTAGCACTGAAGTGTTGAAAGAGACGATCAATGTAATTGCCTCCCAGCCACCACAGACTCTGAGTGAAACAAAATTCCATCCTCAGGGTCAAGTTCTTTCCCTAGCTTCTCCCAAGTCACAGCTCCACAAGGCTGCCTGCTTGGAGTTTAAGCAAATCATTTTATTCTTAATATATTTTTACATGCAAAATGATCAAGGATTTTCTTCTCCCAATTTTCATCTTTTTAATGATTTTTGTGAAGGACATCCTAAGCACTACGTGAAGCAAAATGGAGTCTTTTTTTTTTGCTTCCAATCAAAAAAAAAAAAGATTGACATTCACAAACATGTTTAAGAAACTCCTCTATATATAGTCTGGGTGGTCATCTTGAGTGAAAAATACCTTTAAGTAAACTCACTCTTGATGAAGATTTCTTGTAAGTACATTTGGAAACTGCTTCCTACTCATGATAAACATTGTGTACAATTTTATTTTTTTTAAACATTCCATATGCACATTAATTTTTAAAAACTAGTCTGGCCATTTTTTTCTCTTTTGGCCAAAATCAATAATCTTGAGAGCTCAGACTAAAAAACTGACAACTAAGGGGTTTCTGAGAAACTATTTCTGTTGTGAGCAGCTGTACCTGTGGCTCAAGTTCTGTGCTGATGACATCCTGGGGGTGGTGGGGGACTGGGGCATAGCGTTTAAGAAAACATGGATCCTGTTTACAAGTTTGCCTATCAAATGCCTGTCGGGTAAGGAGTACTTTTAAGGAATAACACAACACACAGTAAAGTTATTACCACTTGGAATAAACAAGAGGTGTTTAGTTTTGGAAAACTTACCACCGAGACAGGGTCCATGGCCTCTTGCTTGACAGGAACTGGGTCAAACATGAGCATTCTTTTAGTTATGCTTTCTAGGGTGCTCTGGTGTTTAGCCTGGAAAACAAAACAAGGTGTCTGTCTAAATCCCGAGGTTACTTTCAATATAAACTGTTGAAAAAAAAAAAAAAATTTCCTCACCCCGCTTCTCTGGTCTTTCCTCTCCCTTGCCCCCAGAATGGCTGGAATTTGTTTTCCTTACCTATGAAAATGCCATTTGGTATAATTAAGACCAGACTCCATGGTCATAACCGGAGGAGAGCCAACTGGCATTTCTAACTCAAAAACATAAACCCTGACGTTTCTGGAACAATAGGTACAGCCCTCTTGAGCGGCCAAGCTTGTTTAATAAGATTACTGTGCAGCTCAACAGAAGTTCACATTATATACGAATGTTAAAAAAAAAAAACAACTTTCCTTTCCATCTTATGTCATAAAAGAAAAATCAGCGAAAAATAAGGCAGGCAAAAAGACAACCTAGAAACAGTTATCACGACCATCTTTGTTTTTATCCCTCCAAACTCTTTTTAAATGGATCGTAATATGCATACTATACAGTACCCATAATTTCACGTAACAATTATTGGGAAAACGTTTCCTTTCCAGTACGTTTGTTTTCACACCATCAAGTTCAGCGTGTCACCATGTGAACCAATCAGATTTGTTTTTTTTGTGACCGTGCTGAACAACTGGTGGGATCTGTTCCCTAACGAGGATGGACAACTTGCCTCAGGCCCTTCTTATCCAAATTTGGTTTAAATGTTCAGCACTTTGGTTAAAAGTGAGGTCTTTGTATGTCACTTTTGTTTGGGTGGGAAGGTGAAGTTCTAGATTGAGCTCCACTTGAAAAAGGTGTAGAAACTCCTGTTTAGATTACTTCCTGTGTTTCAGTATTTAAACTCCCCATCCCCACCTCCCTGATAGCAATCCTGTCGTTAGTGGTGTCCACGCTCTATGGGTTAAACTAAGATATCTTCATGCACAATTATAAAAGTAATATTGTGTAGTTCTTGTGCTTCACTGCTGTGCTGAAGAAAGACTGTCCTGGGTCTCATGACAACACGTGAATATCATCATTAACTCCACATAAGGCCCTGACTTCAAAATTATATTTTCCTACATCACAGGACGTATTATAATCTGCGAACACAATTTGAAACCAGGCTGCTCAAATCAATGGTGCTACCACCCTCTTCTGTATCCCAGTAAGAACAAACCCCGTAGCCAGTGAAAAATGGATGATTTCATAATGAAGGATGAAAACCCCTTTTGTGTCTTGGGATCTATTATTAACCAGTTCCCAGCCTAGCAGCTGTACAGATGGATATGGTGCTAAGAATTGCTGCCCAGGGCCCCAGAGCGGACCATACACAAAAGATGTAAGATCGCATGCTTATATCAATGAGGTCAGATGATTCAGCAGCCTCGACCCATGTCCGGTCATCCTCCCCCAAGCTTTTTAGATTTAATTTACTCTTACAGATTCATCCACTCCACTAGAGAGTATCTTGCTGCAAATCCTTCTAAACAGAAGCACTCATATTCTCAGGAGTGTAGTGTTAGAGTTCTGATCTTGAAACTCAAACAGATCAGTACTTGACCCTCGCAGTGGGGAAGTAGATGGGGGGAGGCCGTTTTTTACATGCAAAATGCAGAGGGCACCTCTTTTGTCTACTTCCTAAAAGATTTACCTTCAAGGTTTTGGGGAAATCAAATGATATTAAAAATAATAAAATCCAAAAAAAAGAAAAACTCTTTTTGCCCTGCAAGTTGTTTATCTGAATATGCACACAATTTTTGAATCTATAATACTATGTACACAGCACTAAATTTGTTGATTCTCATCTCTGGAACAATGTCAAGTACTTGCCTCTTTCCTAGAATATTTAGCCTTAGTGGTCAACACTACCCCCTCCCCAACACACACACCCTTAAAAAACTGACTAAATTCAGTTTAAAAAGTAATGGCTGCTTTCATCCTATCTGAGATCTCATATAGGACCTTGTCACTTGAAAATCACACCATCCCAATAGTTTCCTATCATCTCTTGCCTTGCCTTACCTGGAATCCTTTACTACCAGTAGGAGCAGCACAGTGGAATTAAAGATGATGGGGTCTGGAGCTCATTTTGGTTTAAATCCTAACTTCATCATTTAGCTCATAAAGCCCTTCAATGTACAGTGCATTTGACTTTTTCAAATGTCTACAGCAGTAAGTACTGAACCCATTTAGAAATGAATGACACATTAACTTGCTATAGTTTGTGTCATTTTAAGACACTGGTGAAATTACTGTTAGTTTTTATGTTTTATCTAAATTTAAGGAAATTAGTGCTTTGAAACACTTGTAATCTTAAGAGAAAAATTCATCTAGCATAAAGCATCCCTCCTAACAAAACTGGATTCATTTTTATTAAAAAATAATTGTAAGGGTCGTTTATTCAGAACTGTACCTCGAAGAGTAACTCAATCACTGTTGAAGGGATACTTCTCATTCACAAGGATTTCAGCTAATAAACAAGTAATGATATTACAGAATTTAGAATACCTCATTTTAAAACTCCTCTAACTAAATAAAGCATCACTTGGCAATAAAAGGTCTGTGCAAAATTCAAATGTCACTGTGAACAGAACCACACTCACTGTCCACTCACATGTTTAATAGTACTTTGCTCTCAATCTTGCAGTTTCTAAAATGACTGATTATACTTTCAGTGATAGTCAAAGGCTATGAAACAAGAAGGACATGTTAAAAAATAAAAATAAAAAAAAAAGACACACCCTAACCTTTAACAAGGAATTCTTGGGAGAGGTGGGGGCAGATTTATACATACCTGTGTGCCTATTTTTAAATGTATTAATTCTATAATTGAAACTTCTAGTAAAAGTAACAGGGAAGCTAAGCTAGAAGACATCAAACTTAGGAAGAGACTCAAACACATTAATGCAAATAAGACTTTTGCTTATTTATTTGCACAAGTCTGGACTCTGTACCCACTGTTTCTCGAATGGACCACTTTTGTTGCCAGCACTGACCTTATCTTTGGGTTCTGATCTAGAATAAGAAAAGAGTGACTCAGTGTCACTCAAGGGCCTTCCATATAATTCAGCGCTGGAAGAAGTGGGGTCTCTAAACTAAGTGGCTTTTGTTATGCACGGGCAACTCTGAGCTCTGGGGCCATTGAAAGTAAACTTAAAATGCTATAGAAAATCTATTACTAATAACCCTGACAGCAGTTCCAAGTATGACCATTAGGTGGCGCGCTAAAACAACTATTCAGTAAATTGAGTTTGCCAAAGTCAGGGTCTTTAAATCTAGGGGATTTTAACCAGGGCTCAGGAATTCTTATCCCAGAGATTAGAAGGCCCCCCAAAGTGGTTCTGTTTTTCTTACAACTAGTTCCCAAACATTAACAGGTTTACATCTTAGTTGTGTTAAAACTAGCTCAGGAGACATACATTCTAAACTAGTAATCCCAGGATAACAACACTGCATTTACAAGAGGGAAAAAAACAGGAGAAACAGGTTAAAAAAAAAAAAAAATCTAAGTTATCAAAGTGCCTAAAAGCAAAAATATAGGAACATCACCATCGCGAAAATAATTTTCCATTACGGAACAAACGTCTTCTTCCCCAACTGTTATTTTACTGGGAAGGGCCAATAGAGAATAATTTTCCTTCAAAAGGAAGAAACAGATTTTCCTTCACACTCTACTTATACTTCTGACTTTTCAGCTGTCATAAGAAGGCTCAGATTTTTGTCAAGATGCACAACCGCGTGTTTATGTTTGAAGCAGCTTTGGAGAATCACTTACATGAAGTTTCACAAGCAATCTAGTTCCCTCACACGGCCCTTTCCAACCCTCCACGAGGCCTGCTCGACCCCTGCTTCATGAGGGTACAGATGAGCCACAGGGCTTAGAAACACACACAGGCCTTACTCTCAGAGGTTATGCTGCCAGCCTCCTTTGAAAACAGCTTGTCTTGAAGCTATGGCACATTTTATTACAGAAACCACCTCTGAAATAACTGCCCCTTCCTTAGAAGAATGGGGGGGGGGTTGGGGAAGAAAGGGAAAGAGAGGGAGGTGTGGGGCAGGGTATGGGGGGGGTTCTGGAGAGAGAATGTATCTGAAAGAAACTTCTTGGAGATCTATCAGGATTTGCTCTGACATTCTCCCTTCTCCTCTCCTGTCTAATGCACTCAAAGGGACCCTGAATTCTTCTCCCCCAGCCCAGCCTGGCCCTAAGCTTCCAGACTACCTGCCTCCGTCAAGGCTCATCTTTTGTTTCCGAGCCGACCTCAGCCAGGGGTAAGGAGAAAAAGAGGATGGTGAAACCGGCATGCCACCTGTAAGTCCCCCTTTCAACCCACCCCAGGCTCTGGGCTTTAAAGGAGGAAGCATGCTGCCTCCTCTCACCTCTCACTCCCATAAGGAACTTCAGGGAAAAAAATAAAGACACACACAAAAAAATGGTGCGCGGTGAGTGTAAGTATGTGTGGATGGATATATGTGAGAGAGATTCTTGGTCAGGAGGAGGACCAGGGCGGACAGGTAACATCCCCAAACTTCCTCTCCAAAGAAACTTTTCTTTCTTTACTTTTGTACGCAAACTCTTTTAAGAGCTCCAAGGAGTTGTGTATTTAATGGCAGCTGCTCTGGCCAGAAATCCAAGGGGCCGGGCAACAGATGGAAGTAGACATTTCTAAGTCGGAGCCTCCTTCCAGAACAGCTGAATGCTGGCACCTACCTGGAAAGGCGTCTTGCTTTCATGTCACTCGATGATTTTTCTCCTACCTCAGTCTTGTACTGTTGGTGTGAAAGGAAAAAAATCCCGTGGAACACTTCTAAATCTTTGCCCCTCATAAATTAGTTAGTTTGCATCAAAATGTTTTGTAAATGGGAAAGAAGTTAATTATTTAGTTTCAGATTAAATATAATGATCCATGAGCAAACAATCCGCCCTCTCTCCTCTCTGGGCTAACAAGCCACCCAATTTTACTTTCCTGCCTCCACC